TCTCTGTGTTGCTAGCAATAAGAGATATAGGATGACCAAAACTAGAAATATAGAGGAAAAATATAGCTATAAACGATACAGGTATGTTTTGGTTTTGCCATATATAATATCTTACAATGGTCATGGGGGAAACTATCTTAAATGGTAATGCTGTGTATGTGCAAACACTGACTCCAAACATTTTTTCTTAACACTGCCGATTTACAAAACACATCAGACGAAAAACATCATACCCTTTGGTTCAGGAGAGTTACTTGAAGTGGGTCTGTGCTTAATGGAGATCTCTCAAGATGCCCAAGCAGTACCAGTTATAATCTGTTGAGAAGAGATAGGCCAACTTTTGAGATGTAACCAAATCAGCAACCTCTTAATGAAAAAGTAGTACAAAAATGTTATTAGGAAATATTCCCAAGTCAAGGCCCCAAGCTACCAGGCAAGGCAATCTGGTTCAACACCAGAACTACTGTATTACCCAATAAGAAACTGATGAGAGAGGACATGAAGCCTTCTCTTCCTGTTCTCATTTTCTCTGTGCCATGTAACTGACTGTGGAAGATGTATCTAAGCAAGCTCCAAGCTTAGAGCATGTGCTTGAAGCTTTTTTTTTTTTTTTGTATTTTATACCCAAGAGGTATCTTGCTGCTGCTTGGATAAATGCATGAATTGGACCTTTGGAACATTGTGTAAGTAAAGCATCTTAAACTTACTTAACAGTCTCTGGGCTGTTCATTGTAAGTTGGGTAGAAGAGAGGAGCACTGTTTGCAAGCTGACTAAATGGGATAAAAGAGTCTAACAACTTAATTTCTAACACTATACTGCTGCTTGACTTTTGTATCTTTAAACTCTGCTACCGGGGGCTCTCTCCGGCTGGAGAGTGAATTTAGCCCAGCATTTTGAATCCTGGCACCTAGCCAGTTCTTTTATTATTTACCTCCCACAAGTGGGTCACAGGGATTCAAATTTTCCTCCCCCACATTTCACATTGCCTATGGCCATGTAGATAGGATGGTCACCTCTGTAGATAGGATGGTCACCTCTCCCTGACATCTCAGTGATATTTTGGAGGTTAAAAAAAAACCTCCCACAAAACAAAACAGAGAGAGAGAGAGAGAGAGAGAGAGAGAGAGAAGCAGCAGCAGCAGACATTTTCCCTCTTCTGCCTTTCTTTTCCTATTTACTGTGGCAGCCTTCTCAGTCTGGCACTGGCCATTGGGAGAAAGGCAGGAGAAAGCAGTTTCCATCCAGGAGACTCAGCTTGCTAAATTGGATGTTCTCATAGCTTGTCCTAGTGAAATTATTAATTATAATTTGAACTTTCATTTTAAGAAACTGAAGGGACCACTCCTGCAATATTCTAGAATTTGTAATATCATGTAAGTGGCAAAAGGAGAATTTGAATAGTGGGCATTTTTTAAAGTTTATTTCTTAAAACCTGGTAAATCTTCTGTGCTAACTTTCATAGTGAAGAGACCAAACATCTTGGTTTATTACAAAGGCTTATAGCCTTATAATGACATAAGTGTTCTAAGTTTGTAACACCTATGGGTGTCAAAGACTGAGGAAATCCTTTATTTAAACTCTGGAGACCTGCCCACCAACTCAGAACTTTCTGTCTCGCCCCCCACCCTGCCACTCAAATGCTGGCAATTGTCTGTGTTTAAATTCTGGCCATGCTGTTGCTGCTGATTCTGGCAGGGAGTTTTCCTAGCATTTCCTACAGGAGTGCAAATAATTTTTTGAGAGGAGAACACCTGGGTAGATAACATCTCAAAGCAAATTTCTTCCAGTGACTGGGGATGCCTACAGAATAGAGAACATACTTTATATTCCAGTAGAATCACAGCCAAGACATACAAATATGGTGCAGTTTTGGCAAACTCATCATGAGTTTCCTTTTACGCAGGCAGTATTTTTAATTGTGTCCTAAGCTTATGGATCCAAATAATACATATGCAGTTTGAAAGAAGTTGAGAATTATATGCTGTAGAATTAGATGGTTAGAGGTGAAAAGGTATTAAGGAGCTTACAAAAATGTATTTTAAAACACATTCTGATTATTTGAAAAGCAAAGTATCAACTTTAAATAATTTCCTGGTTTGTGCAGGGAGGGCAATAGTTAGTATTTTTATGATACTTGTATATTGAGCAGAGGGAGGGGGAAGTTGTCAAAGCTGGATGCTGAATAAATACCTCACTGCTTGCTGAAATTATATTTGAAACTTCCTTGAATTTTATTATACATGGATTGTGCACTTGGCTGCCATTTGCTTCCTCCAGACTCCCAAAGGTAAGTCTATTGTGCCCTCTGGGGGTTCTCTACTGCTTCAACTTAGAACTCAATTTCATTTATTATTTTTTTGCTTATCATAAAATATTGCTACATTTTTTCTGCTTTGGGCTTGATGAACAAAGAAATTTATTGCCTTCTTTACATCAGGAAGTCTAGGTTTTCCTGACATTTTATTACTTTGAATATTAGAAACATTTCAATCCCAGACAATAAATATTACATGATTATTCTTTCCAAATGGATAGGCTATTCCTCCCCTCTCCTCCATGCCCCTGCTCCAGGTTTTACTATGCAACACAATATTACCAAGCAACACCCAAAAATTATATAGACACTTGAGATTTTTGATATTAAATTGATCTTGAAAAGCCAGAGATGCGTCCCAGAGTTTGCTTGCAAGTTATGGACGAAACAGTTTGAAACAGGAGATGACCCAACAAAATGTATGAAGTTTTAAGTTCACTGATTTCAGTGGGATAGCTTGATAAGCGCATGTATGGACAATTTGACTAGATTGTGAGATGTCCCCTTGTTAACTGGGACACTGTGCCCTTTGAGAAGAGCATCACAGTGCCAGGCCTGCTGTGGGCAGCCAAAGCCTTCGCTTGAAGTGGCGGCAAAACAACTGTCAACACTCCCTCATAGCCTCTCAGTCCCTTGCGGGTTTTGTGAACTGTCCACAGGACTTCGCTGAATGGCTGTATATAAATGCCAGCCTGTCCGCCCATCAACTTAGGCTGCAGGCGACGTGGGGCTTGTCCACACTTCTGCCAGTCCTGCCACAATATCGGGGGGGGGGCCTCTCTTCACAGCTGAATCAGAGCTGTAAAAAGCGGGATTTCCAGATTTCCAGAGGGGCAAATGTGACCAGGACCCATGCCTAGAAAGCATGGGGCAAGTGGGGAAACTGACTGGATCCGTGCTTCCTAATCACTGGACAAGGGGAAGTGTGGACAAGCCCTAAGCCTTGAGCATAGTGGCAGGGAGATGCCAACAGGAATTGCTGGACCTGATGCACTGCATATGGATGGAAGTGGAAGAACACCATCACCCTGCAATCTATTAGTGGAATCTGCTGCATATATATGTGCATATAATAATTTTGCCTATCCTCCCTCTCTGGGCTGTTGCAAAGATAAAAGGAGGAATGGGGAGGTAAGAGACACAGCCTTGAGCTCCTGGGAGGAAAAGATGCAAATATATAATGCCATTCCTGTCAAGAAAAATAAACATACACAAAGCCAGGAGAGCATCCTGCCCGCCCCCAACATTTTACAATCCAGATAATTTACAGCAAAATAACAACACAAAAAGCTTGCCGACACTGGAGATGTAAAAATGCACACACCACATGTAGCAGTTTATTGTCAAAACCAGTTGGTCATTGCAGGTTTTTTCCCCTAAGCCAAAATGGTTTCCTGCCAAATAGCAATGATACTTCAGTAACCCCTGCCTAATTGCTTTAAAAATAGGATTGGAATGGAAGAGAGAGAGAGAATAATAACATAATCCTGTATTTACTCAAAAGTAAATCCCATTGATTTACAGCACAATTCTAACCATGTCTACTCTAATGTAAGTCCTATTGAATTGCAGCCCAAGACAAATTAAATTTGCATAAACACCAGCACATTTTAATAGCATAAATTGCATGTTGGCTGGTTGACCTGGCAGACAATGGAGGAGTATTGGAGAGTTACATCGCCTGCTGTGGCTGCAGAAACTGATATGGGAGAGACATATTGGATACAGCTGTGGCAGATGAAAATGTCCAGTTTTGCACTCCTCCTAGTGGTCCTTTCTCCTCTGCTGCTGCTGAAATCCATAGGCTCCCATAAGTCATATGATGTGCAAACACACACAAACCACTATATGCCGTATCTGGGGAGCAATGAGACAGAAGCAGGAAAAGGTATTCCAAATTCCTAGCTCTGACTTCACTTGTCAACTAAAATTCTGTAAGGTGGGGACGACTACAAACCAGGCTAGCTCATTTCACAGAAACTGCAAAGAACGGGGAGTTCACTGAAAATCCCTTCCATTTAATGTTTATGTATTACATGATTTAATTGCACTGACCTACATATAACCTGCCCTGGGACCTCATGATGAAGTGTGGGCTGTAGACCTGTAGACCTGCCAACAGACCAATTGCTGAACATACTTTTTCTTCTTTATGATAAGGAGGAAAATTTCCCATCTTGTCTTTGGGCATAGCAGCCATTCTCCAATAATTCTTTGAGATTATGGCTGGTGGCTCTAAAATAACACCCTCAAACTCCTGCAACCCCACAGAATGTAATTCATCTAGGCCCTGGAGACAAACCCATTCAAAGTAGATAAGTGTTCTCTAATCATTTCCTTTCCTTTCCTGGGCTGCAAGTCCTTTCTTACATCATTTGTTCTATTCCCCTAAGGTTAACCCAATGCTCCTTGCTGAAGAAGACCAGGGGATAATAAATTGGGCAGTTCTGCCTTCTCTTCATCTCCTGCTAACACATCTCAAGTAACCAGATCAATCCCTTCCTTGTTCTACTCCTTGCTCCAAACGTAGCCAAAAATGTGCCTCTTTTTTAAATATCTTTTGCAAGCCTCAGCTCAGTTTTAGCCTTCCCAAAACCATCATTACAGGTCTATCACTTTCACAGAATCATAGAATTGTAAAGTTGGAAGAGCCCACAAGGCTCATCTAGTCCAATCCCCTGCAATGGCAGGAATCAACATGGAGCTCAAACCCACAACCCTGAGATTAAGAATCTCATGCTCGTCTGATTGAGCTATCCCAGCAGTTGTAAACATTTCCTGGGTTTCAGCTGGTTAGTCATTCTGGCAGGCTGAAAAACCAACAGGCTAAATAAATGAAACAAAAAGTGTATCCTGTTTGTGATTAACAAAGATTATAAACAGATAAGAATGCTCTGGTTGTTAAGAATCTTCATTTTACATTATTTTTATTCCTTTTGTGAACTGCTGGCTCCAAAGGTGAAACTAAATTCCTTAGCGTGGGAAAGGCATGCACTTTTTTCTTAAGGAGACAGACTTACTCAAGGCAGAGACTGTTAAGGTAGAGACTAACAATATGGCAAAGATACTGTTGAGCACTCCACTGACTGTTGGTATCATGTGGCAATTATTGGATGAGCAATTGAAAGAGCTCAGAGCTAAGTTATATAAAATGGTAAACGAAAATAGATCAGAGAAAGATCAGACCAAATAATACACAGGACCTTTTTTGGGGGTAGGGAATACTGATAAAGATCTGCCTGAACATGAGAGTGCAATGGTAGAGCGGAGGCAGCAGATGATGAAATGGAGAGGACCTCCACACAGGTGCCTGGAGGGGTGAAACAGACAAATGATGGAGTTGTGATGCTGGATGAATAGAATGAAACCATTGACAGAAACATTAAGAGAAACATATTGAGATGGCAGAGAGAGAGAGCTGAGAGAGAAAGGATCCTGTGTACAAGTTGGAGTGAATTCAGAGGGAAAAGCCACCAAGCCTCTGGTGATTCTTCTGGAAGACTATTCTTGACATTTAGCAATAATAACAATTGAAGAGCACCCTTTGGACTTTTTTTGTGTGGAAAGGAAAATGAATGAACTTGAGGTGTCTGGGGTTGAAGATTGGGAAAACACCGCCTCGCAGATTGAGGAACAGCTGGATACCATCCTGGAGTGAACACTTTGAATATTTTGAATAATTTTTATATACATAATTGACAGACAGAGAATCAGAATTCCTCTTTATTTCTTTTCCTTTTATCTCTCTTCTCATCTTTATTTCCTGTGTTTTCTTTTCTTCTTCTTCGTCTATCCACTTTTGCCAATTTTAAAAATGTTTTTTGATGTCCTCTACTCTGGGATAATGAGGGTATGCATGGCAAGGTGATGGATGGAAAGTGAAAGACCCTGTGTGAGGGACTTCTGGGTCAGCGCCATCGGTGAATGGCGGAGGAACGGGCTCCGTGGAAACTGGGTCTTCCCACCGCGGCAAAGGTGGGGACCCGCTAGAAATCCCAGGTGGAGGAAGCCTGGAAACGTGGGGTTCGGCAGGGCACCAGGAGCACCCCCCCTACTCACCGGGAACCCCATTTTGGGGTGCCGGAGCAAAGTGGGGTGAGTGGCGCTGTGCTGCGAACTGATTGCTATTTTCACGGAGTGAAGCCACACAGCCATTGCCGGAGAGCGCTGACTTTTTCCTGTGGACAATTGGATTTAAAACAAGTACCCGTGAGTAGAAACGGAAAATTTGGATTAAGAAATATCTCAAATTGGCATCGAAGCGGGAAGGTTCAAAACAGGAAGTCCGCCTTCCGCTTTTTGTATATAGACTAAAGCAAAAATTTTGTAAGCTAAAGCCTGGAAAGCTGTTAAAAAAGCCTAAATTTCCTTCATTCAGAATTACTGAAACCCCCTTGGAAGCAGGAGAAAAGGTGGGGGGCTTTGTTCAACCCTAGCAGGAGAGGGAGTGAAGAAGGATAAGTTTCCACCGTCTCTAACCTGGGAACGGGGTGTCAGAGACAGAAACTGTTGGAGAGGTCCATTGACTGTGAATGGAATACTTTGACAGATAGCTAAAGAAGAGAAACAAACTGATTTCAATGTTGCCTTTTGCATTTTAAAGAAATAAAATATCTGAAAAATATCTGAAAAATGAAAGTAATTTTCCTTTGTTGGACTTGCCTTTTAAAAAAAATGGATACAAATAGAAATTGTCTCCTCTAGAGGGAGCTTGTTAAATTGTTGCTGCAGTATACTTGAGGACTCAACAGCTGTGAGATTAAGATCGTGGGACCAGTCTCTTCTGACCTTGACTAAAGATGAGCTGGGAGGAAGATTGGGTGCTTGCTCTATGCAAGACAAGTGCCTTGCTGGAACAGATGCACGAGAAGATGGATTTGATGAATGAGAAAATGGATTTGATGACTGTTGTGGTTAATAACTGTGGACAAACAGGGAACATTGATACAGAAATCATTCAGGAACCAACTCATGAACCTGTACTGTCTGGGCAAGTGCAGAAGATAATGGAGGAGGATGCGGTTGCACCTCAAATAATACAAATGGAGAGACCCGAGGCCCTACAGGAGCATAAGCCGCTGTCATTGAAGATTGAAGTTGGAGTGGGCCAGGGGGAGTTTGGAGCTGAGGAGGTTCCTAACTTTGGAGAGACCTGGAAATATGCTTTTAAATACTTTTTGGACTATAGCGATGACTGTGGGGAATGGGTCTGTGGGGAATGGGTGGGTTTGATGAAGAGAGATGGAGACAATTTTGGGTTGGAATTCCCCAGAGACCTACTCCTCAATGAGAAAGGAAAGAAATTAAGAAAGAGACCAACAAAAGACAAGGAAAAGGGCAAGTATAAACAAGAAGAAGAAGAACTGCAGAAGGGACATGGAAGAGACTTAAGGGCCTCGGACATAAGGCTTCCAGGTTGATGGACTAGATGGAATAGACAGTAAGGACTGACACGATCCGAGACCAGGAAGAAGAGACGTTGGATGAAGATTGGAAAAAATTTATAAATAAAAACTTTCTATTTAGGGAATTAGCTTAAAATTAATGAATATTAGGGAAAATGTTGGAATGAAACTATATGACTCTAGCAGAAATGATATCAGGAGTTATGTATATTTGAAAACTAAGATTTAAGCTTTAAGGTATTTTAGGGTAAGATAAGGTTAAATAAACTAAGGTAATTTGAATAATAGAATATGGGGAAAGATGGAAAGGATTTGTTGAGCTAATTATTAGGTTTAAATTGTTAAGATAAATTTTGTAACAAAAATTGAGAAAGATGGAAAGAATTTGCTGAAATAACTAATTGAACTAGAATGCAAGAAGGGAGGTGTGAGGTCAATGAAACAAGCAAATGGAAGTTATAGATATGTAATTTGGGATATGTGTTTTTTCTTTCTTTTTTTTCTTGTTTTCTTTGTATTTTTTTGCTGTACTGTTGTATTGTTGTATTGCTGTACTGTTGTTTTTTTTCTCCCTTTTTATGTATTATTGTGTTGTTGTTTTTTTTCTTTCTATAATTCTGAAACTACTAATAAATATTATTTAAAAAAAAAAAGAAAGACCCTGTGTGAGAGGCAGGGAAGGGAAGATCTCCCAGAGTGGCAGGCTGGGAAGTGAATGGGAAGCTCCCAGGTGAAAACTGGGAAGGTCCACACCCTTTGGTGTGAGACAAGGGTTAAGATTTACCTCTGATAAGAGTGCTTTGTATGTTTTCCCTTCTTCCTCTTCCTCTTTTCTTTCCTTTTGTTGTTTTCTTTGTTTCTGTTTGATTAGTTTGTTTTTTATTGTATTGTAAGCTGTAATTTTTTTAAAAAATGAAGTTTGCAGTTGTGCTTCCAGTTTTCCATAGCATCTCCTTTCCTCAAATGTTCATCTCATCTCCCCTCAAATGTTCTCATCACAACATCCTACCAAACTCTTTTTTAAACTCCTCAAAATCCACTTTCAAAGATATGCATCCATCTATGTTTAGTTTTTACATCCCTTGCTATCACAGATTTCAAAATGACTTCTCCCTTTCACCTAAGGTTCTTGCCACTGCGAATTCTTCAAGCAGTTTTTTATCTGGTGCTCAGTATTAGGTCAAGAAGAGCAAGTCCCCTTGTGCTGTTTCCTACCTTCTGAGAGATGGCGTTGCCAGGCAAGGTTGGTCAGGAATATATTGAATGTCCCAGTATGCTTCCAGCTGATGGCAGGATGGTTGAAATTCCCCATTGCTTCCATTGTTCTCTTCTGTGACTGTGCTGTAACCTGTGTTTAGGAAGGCATCATCCATGTCTTGTGGCTGGCTGGGCAACTTGTTGCCATCACAATATCCATTTTGTTTCGGTCTTCTGTCCTCACCAAGAAACCCAAACAGACAATTCATACACATAGTTAATATCATGTTTAGTTTACCATTATACTCATTTACACAAGGCCATAGGAGCCAGTCGGGGGGGGGTATTTGACCCCCCCAATAAAATATTTTAGGGGGCCACTTCCCCCAGTTGATGGGCATTGCCATTCAAATGGTATGCATGCGTTTGGTGTGCATTGTGATTGTGTGGGATGGGGCTTACCTGGGCCAATATTTTATTCAAGTTTGTCCCCCTGCAAAAAGCACAATGTTTTCTTCCAGGATAAACAGGTGGCAGCCTCTATAGGACAGAATAGGGCAATTTCATTACTGTTGCTTAGAAAAAGGAATGCTAAGAGGAAATAGATTGACTAATCAGTTCCTAGAGAATGGAGATTGGCCCTCATCCACTGGAAGAAGGTGGTCACTTGGGCTCAGAGATGGTTTCTAGATGGGTTTTGTGTAAATTGGGGAGGCCTTCCCTTATGCAAAGCACCCATGGATCTTAGATGGAACAAAATAACATTAAGAAAAGGTGAAGAGGAAATGTCACTCCTTGACAGGCCCTGCAGTTTCCCTGGGCTGAGCCTGTTGCAAACTTTTGGGTTGCATAAGATCCACTCCTTTAGGAGCCCGAAAGGCAGCTCAATCTCAGGGCAGCTGAAACTGGGTTATGACAGACTGTATTTTAATATTTAGAAATGGAGCTTTTCTCAGAAGCTAGTATGACTGATATAGAAACTCTATCTGGAAGATGAAAGCATGTCTTCTGGAATAAATAATAACCTGTGCAAAAACTTCTGCTATACTGACCTCAAATAAAGTGTAATACAGTGGTGCCTCGCAAGACGAAATTAATTCGTTCTGCGAGTTTTTTCGTCTTGCGATTTTTTCGTCTTGCGAAGCACCGTTTCCCAAAGTC